TTTAAAATCTCCTTAAACATTGTCCTTGATTATTTAAAAAAAAATTGTAGGTAAACATGAACATGATAGATCACAGGGTAAATTTCTGTTTTAAAGAGGTAGCATATGACACAAGAGATTTGAATCTCAGAGAGAGACAGGCTTGGAGATGTGGGGCAGAAAGAGTAGGCATTTTCGGCCTAGCAAACACCAAACCAGATATATAGGGTTTTTTTTTTTTTTAAAGTTAGTTTTTTCCATGACTTTTGCCCCAGGAAAAGGAGCTCCAGGGAAGGCTGGAGAATTAAGTGGAGGAGGTCCATAACATTCTATAAAAGATCTAATTCTTTTGAAAATACACTGTTTTTCTCTAGACAAGACTGCTAATCTACTTTAATTTGGTTCCAAATAATTAAATGCTTTGTTTGAACTGTTTCTCTAAGCAATATATTTTTCCCCCAATATTCTGAATTAAATGTTGGCATCCCATGGTTGGGATAGCAAAGAAAATATTTCTGAAGAACATTTAAAAGTTCACAAATTTGGGACTGGAGAGATGGCTCAGCAGTTAAGAGCACTGACTGCTCTTGCAGAGGACCCAGGTTCGATTCCCAGCACCCACACACATGCAGGTAATACACGTAAAAAAAATAAGAATAAAAAAGTTCATAAATTTGCTCTGATGACATTTAAGTTCCAATTCCTTTAGGTAAATCCATTAATTGCCATGCACGTGTACAAGACTCAGGAGATAAAGAGGTCCCTGTAGTGAAAGCAGAAAGATGAAAAAGCAAGTGAAAGTTTGAGCACAGTTTCTTGGTTTAGGCCTGGTAAAGAAGGAGAGAAGGGCAGAAAATGAATAAGTATTATTGTCTGCTGGTGCAAGCTGTAAGTGCACCTGTGTTGTGCAGTGCCTCAGAGGTCAAAAGAGGGAGTTGGATTCCCTGGATCTGGAGTTAAGGATGGCTGTAAGCTGCCATGTGGGTGTTGGGAATTGTACTCCAGTCCTCTACTAGAGCAGCCAGTGCGCTTAACTGCTGAGCCATCTCTCCAACCCTCAAAAAAATTCTTAAATGAATTAATGATACTATATCTAGCAATGCTTCTGAGAGGTAGGCATGGCCTAGAGTGTATTTCTTAGTAATATTCAGAGATATTTACAAATTAGATACAAGTTATCAGTCATACGTATTAAGTCAACAATTAAACCTAGTCAGTTCTTGAAGTCAAAGTGAAGCCATAGCTCAGGCCTACTTTTTGCCCGGGCTTACTAGGAGCTAGTATAGCTTCCCTCTTTGTTTTGTTTTGTTTGCTTGCTTTTTGTCTTAGGACAACTTTATTGAAAGGAAACATAGTCACACCCAGAAGACATGCTTTCCCTCTCATTCTTTCTCACTTATAGTCACAACACACTCACACTCATCTTCAGCTTCTGTCACACAGGCTAGTTCTTAGCCAGAGGGGTGGGGCACTCTAATTCCTAAAATCTAGGGACTTAAAAATCTTCCTCTTAAAGGCACAGGATTTTCACACACCACACATAAAACCAAATATGGTATAAGAATAGCTGATGAACAGTTAAGAGCACTGGCTATTCTTGAAGAGGAAGGACCCAAGTCATTTAACTTTTCTAAAGCTGTTTCCGTTGTCTGTAAAATAAACAATAATGGAATATATCTTTAAAGGGAGGCCCAGGTTTTCAGGGAGTAATCTGAGAGTCCTTAACACTAAACTGGGAGCTTGTTCTCTAAATAGTTCATGAGGAAAGGCACCTCTGTGCCTGTTTAGAGCTTAGAACACATTCTGGCATTTTATAAGTGGTCTGTAAGTGTTCCCTCACCTTTACTAGAGATTTTATTTCATCCATCTTGTTTGTAAGGCCTTTAATCTGTGGTCACATATTTCTCAATCACAAACATCATGAACAGAGGACTTATCACAGGCTATTTGTCCCCTGTACACCTCTGGGGTAGAAGTTAGGCTAGGTGCAGGTGTTTGTGGTTTGTTTTAATACACTGGAGCTTGTACCCAGGGCCTCAATGCAGGCAGGCGCTAGGCAGATCCTCTGAGCTACATCCCCAACCTCTGGCTAATGGCTTACAAATATCCTTCAAGTCAGAGATACCCAATTTTTCCACACAACTTTATTGATAACAATTGCATCTATACACTTGACAATACACATACATTTATACACATATAGACAGGATTTATTTAACCCATGATCATGTCTGGAGCTATTTTGGATTCATAAACCCCATAATTCCAGAAGCCCTTGACCAAAAGCAAAAATGAATAACAGCAAAATCAAGGCTTGAGAGGCTGGAGAGATGGCTCAGCGTTAAGAATGCTGGCTATACTTCCAGAGGACCCAGGTTCAGTTAACTGGACCCACATGGTGGCTAACAACCATCTAATAACCCCAGTGCGAGGGGATCAAACACCCTCTTCTGGCCTCTGCTTTGCACCCTTATATACATGCACCCAGCACTCATATACACAAAATATAAATTAAAACTTTTTTAACACTCAAGACTTGAACAGGAAGATTCTGTATGTTCTACTCTACAAAATAAAACCAATGCAACAGTCTTCACATAGACAAAAGTGGGTAGTGTTGCTGTGGACCAACCACTTGGCTTCTCTTAATTTCATCTGTAAAAGATTAACTCTGTAGACTAGCTTGCCTTCTGAAAAGTAAATGAGATTGGTGATTGTAAATTAAAAGTTCATCTCAGCCCGGCATGGTGGTACACGCCTTTAACCGCAGCACTCAGGAGGCAGAGGCAGGCGGATCTCTGTGAGTTCAAGGCCAGCCTGGTTTACATAGTGAGTTCCAGGCCAGCTGGGGCTACAGGGAGACCCTGTCTCAAAAAGACCAAAAAGGAAAAAAAAGAAAGCTCATTTCAGTGGAGAACAGAAAAATCAGGCTGGGGTTGGAGGGGTGTAAAAGGCTCTTTCCAAAGGCCAGTGTTTTTGATTTAATGAAAATCCAAGAGGTTATTCTAAATTGGGAAAATTAGGCCAGGACTCTGGAGACAGAGGCAGGCGGATCTCTGTGAGTGGATACAGGGAGACCCTGTCTTGGAGGGAGGGAGGGAGGGAGGG